TGTGGTTTGAGTCTCAGACCTGAGACTCTCCTCCCATTAAATTAAATAAATAAATAAATATTTTTTTTAATGCAGAGTCGCAGGCCCCATCCTAGATCTATTGAATGAGATCCTTTGTGTGCAGGGCCCTTGAAACTGGCTCTTGTACTCACGGAAGGTGTTACAACCCCTCAGTTTGACAACTTTAGCCTATGGGGCAGAGGGTCTAACACACAGGTGGGTGCCGTTGCCTGGGACGGGTCTGCCCTGCATTACTGTCCTGCGGGTCCAGCAAGGCTCATAAAGGGCCGTGGCACCATAGGCGCTCCCTGCTGCCAGCTCCTGGTGGTACCAGCACGGCTGGGTCCTCTCCCCAGTGACAGAACGGAGCCCTTAGAGGACAGCGTGGGCTGGGAAGCTGGCCAGATATTGCCCCCTCCCCAGTAAAGGAGTGGGGACCCAGAAGGGCAGCCGCTCTCTGAACTTCTCTCCACACACCCCACCCCTCAGGCTTGCACCTCTCTGTCCCCTCAGGCCACAATTCTGAGCCCTGGGCCGCTGAGCTGAAGTCCCAGGACTACGAGCTGCTGTGTCCCAACGGGGCACGGGCCGAGGTGTTCCAGTTCGAAGCCTGCAACCTGGCACAGATCCCGTCCCATGCCGTCATGGTCCGGCCGGACACCAACATCTTCACTGTGTATGGACTGCTGGACAAGGCCCAGGTGAGCCAGCGCAGGGCTGCTTCACTGAGGGGGCCGCGGTGAACCACGCCTCCTGGGAGGTCCTGCTGTCCAGAGCAGACCCGAGGAGAAACTGAGGAAGCCTGGGGGAAATTCTGTGATTTCACTTACTTCAGGACACTCCTCCAGCACTCTCCCCTCTCTTGCATCGGCACTTTCCCTTCTCTGCTGGACCATTCTCAGCACCTGAGCTATCGTTTTTAAAAACTAACCCTCTTGGTCTCATGTTCTCACATAGCTGCAACCCCACTCCCTTTTAGAGCAAAACTCCTCCAAAAGGTCTCTGCTCTGGAGTCATCAAGTCCTCTCTGGTCTCTCTAAAAGATGGAGACTACCTCAGAGAGGCTCCCCAGGGCCCTAGCCCTGTCCTTGTCATGGCCATGGTGACTCGTGTTGCTATATCCAGGAGCCGTCCCTCAGTCCTCATGGTACCTGACCTCTCAGCTCCTTCCTCCTGGAAGCACTTGCCTGTTGGCTCCCAGGTCCCCACCCCTGCCTGCTCCCCTCCTACCTCTCCGGTCACTCCAGTCTCTTTTGCTGTTTCCTCCTCATCTCCCTGGCCTGTACATGCTGCAGTTCCCCGAGGGCCTCCACCGTCCTCTCTGCCCTCACCTCGACCCTCATGGTCTCATTCAGGTCTATACCACTCAATGCCATCTGTGTATAGAAGGCTTCTGCTCTATCTTCATCCCTGACTTCAGTCCCATCCTTCCATCCCTTTCACATTTAGCTATGTTTCTTGACAGGTTGACTTGTGTTTCTGACAGGCATGTCAAACTGATCAAGTCCGAAGTTGAACTCCCATTCCTCCCGCAATTCAGTCAATAGAACCTTTAGCCTTTCCATTTCCTCAGGAGTCATCTTTGGCTCCTGGCTTCATCTCATGCTCTCTATCCAACCCATCAAAAGTCCTAGTAGTTGCATTTTCAAAATATGCCTAGAATTTGAACCCAGCTTTCTGACAATGGAGCCCAGTTTCTAACACCTCTTCCTACCCTCCCCGCCCCCTCTACTACTCTAGACTGAACTTGCCCTTCCCCTACCTATGAACACCACAGAATTGCAGAGCTGGCTGGTCCAAAGGCCTCATCCTAAACTTTGAAGTTACAACTTGTTCTCATCTTCCATGTGGACTTTTTTTTTTTAAGAGTTATTAATTTAATTTTATTTATTCATTCATTTATTTTAATTTGACCAGAGAGAGAGAAAGAAAGTGAGAAAGCAAGCCACCAGGTTCAGGACTCGAACCATGGTCGGCCACATGGGAGTGCTTTAACCACCGTGCCACCCGCTGGTCCCCTTCCACATGGACTTTCTATCCCAGAAGTGTTTTACTTCAGAACCCTGGGCGTTCCTCGAGAATCCCTAGGCCTCTGAAGTAGTGGGGTGGGGGAAAACTCCCATGCAGATGTATGTTTTTCTGGGGAGAAGGCTGATCGCACTCATCAGGTCTTCAAGAGGCTCCCTGAGTCCCCTCCAAAAATATTAGTAGCACCTCTGTTCCTTCTGGCTCCCTTCATCAGTATTTAACAGCCCAGCCAACACAGACATGGATCCATGTTCTTCAGATGTTCTTTATTTGCATTCTTATTTATTTATTTTTAGAGGTTTTGCCTTAGGGTGCATGTGCTTGCTAGGAGAGACAGAGACAGTGAGAGGGAAAGTAAGAAATCAACCCCCAGGGGGCATGGCCACACTGCAATGCCATCTCTTCCATTATCCTCCCGGTGTCTTGGGCATTCCCATACACATTCCTGGCAAGAGTTTTAAGCCACCAGGTCTGGGACTCTAACCACAGTAGGCCACGTGGGAGTCCAGCGACATAACTGCTATGTCATCTGCTGGCCCCATACATTTTTTAAAGATTTATCAGAGGGGTACATGGACTTGTCTGAAAGAGACAGAAAGGAAGAGGGAGAAAGCACTCCCAAATGGGGCATGGTCATACCACAATCCCTTCTCCTCCATTTCTCCCTCCCATTGGGATCTAGGGAATGCACATACACATGCCCGGCATGTTTGTCAAGCCACCAAGTCTAAGGACTCAGCCTCCCTTAACCACTAGGCCACGGGGCTGGCTCTCTTTATCTAAAACAACAACAACAACAACAACAACAAAAAAAAAACCCTCTTTTTTTTTTTTTTAAGGATTTTTTTTTTAATTTTCTTTATTTCAATTTGACCAGAGAGAGAGAAAGTGAGAAAGCAAGCCACCAGGTCCGGGACTCAAACTATGGTTGGCCATGTGGGAATGTCCAGCGCCTTAGCCACCACACCACCTGCTGGCCCCATGGCTCTCTTCATTTACATTTGTGGTTATAATTTCTCAGACCTCATTCAAGAGCACACGCAATCCAAGGATACTGGAATAGCAGCAGTCTCTCTAGGATGCTAGGAAGGTGGGTCAGTAGACACAGAGTCAACCCACCTTTCATTGTTATTACTGGTAACAAAACAAAAGCCTCTATCAATGAAATCGCTTTGGTTTGGGGACAGGATGCCCTCAGAGAAAGCGAGAAAGCGTGGAAAGGGCCGGGAAGTGCTGAGCCTGGCAAGTCGGCCTTCCGCTCACATCCTCTTGCTCGCCTGGTCTTCCTCCTGTAACTCTCCTGCCTCAGCTCTGCGCCCCAGAACTTGTTTTGTGGACCGTTTCTGAATAATTACGGTGGTGCCTACTGTCATCTGTCCCTAGGCCTTCCTGATGACACAGGCCAATCCATGGTCCAGCTTCTTTGAATCTTGGTGACCTGAAATGACGTGTTCTTTGGGTCCAAGTGAAATGGAGTAGGTGGGGGCTTGATGCAGGGTTGGGGTCCGCAGTCCTGCCAACCCTCTGCGAAGCAGCTGGCAGCAGGCAGCAGCCAGACGGGGTCCCTGTGAGTCCAGATGAGAAGCAGGTCTGTGTGTGCTGCTTCCAGGACCTCTTTGGAGATGACCACAATAAGAATGGCTTCAAAATGTTTGACTCCTCCAACTATCACGGCCAAGACCTGCTTTTCAAGGATGCCACGGTCCGGGCGGTGCCTGTTGGGGAGAAAACCACTTACCGCGACTGGCTGGGGCTGGACTACGTGGCAGCCCTGGAAGGGATGCTGTCCCAGCAGTGCTCGGGTGCAGGTAGGGTGCTGGCCTGCTGGCCTGGCAGCCGGGAAGCCCATGGGCCCTGCCATGTCCTCACATGTCATTCAGATTTCGGGGGAGGTGAGGGGTGCCTATTTCACAAACCAGCCAGGTGAAGTGTCCCGGGAGACGGGGATCGAAATAGGGAGGCTGCAGGTATTTATAGCAGGAACTGGCCCTGCCCCCCAAACAGACCTGGGCTATGCATATAAATGCAAAGATGCTGTCCAAAGAGGATCGGAGGCATTGGCATGAATATACATGTAGTGTCATTTTGAAAGGGATGAATATGTAAAGAAACCGAGGAGAAAGAAAAATTGTAATGGGGTAGAGGAGCGAGGCGGGCTCAAGTTCAGTGCCCAGAAATAGCATTGCCGAGCGCCAGCGCCCGCGTGCGCCTGGGGGAGCTCAGGTGCCTGGAGGCCTTACTGCTTCTGTTGTCCCCAGCGGTCCCGGCGCCCCGGGGCTCCCTGCTGCTGCTGCTGTCGCTGCCCCTGGCTGCAGGCCTGCTCCCGCCCGCTCTCTGAAAGCACTGGGTGGCCCTCGCCTCGGTCGCATCAGCCTGCAGCTCAGAATCCCGGGAACAAGGCCGTGCCCCCGCCCATCCCGCTGCTCCGGGAAGGTGTGCGCGGCAGGGAGCGCGGAGCGCAGAGCCACCGTCCGCTCCAAGTCCGGTGAAGGCCCCCACTGGAACAGAGAGGACTCCGGGGGGCCGTGAGCGGCCCTCCTGCGGAGCCCCCCGCCTCCCAGGCACCACCTGGCCCGCTGCTACCTGAGGCGGCTGGCCGGCCTCCCAGTGCCGCCGCCCCCGGCTGGCGCCGCTTCCCTGCAAACCTGCAGCCTCCCACCGCCTGGAGCCTCCCCAGCCTCGCCTGCCTCGGAAAAGGCCGGTTGCCAAGGAGACAGGCTGAGCCGCTTCCCACGCAGCCTCAGCTGAGCGCAGAGCCGCCCTGGAGCGCCCGGCGCCCACCGAAAGCGGGGAGCAGCCTCGGTCCCCGCAGCCTCGCCCCGCCTGGGCACCCCCGGAGAGGCTGCGGCTGAGCCCTCCAAGAAGGCGCCTTGGCGCCACCTCCAGCCCCTTGTCCCGGTTTCCTGCGGCTGGGTGCTGCCGGCTCAGAGGACAACTGGGCTGGAGGGGAAAGGCCGTGGGGGACCCTCAGACCCAGCATAGGCTCCTCGGAGTGAAATGTGGTGGCGGCGGGGGCTAATGCAGGGCTGGGGCCCGCAGTCCCGCCAAGCCCGTCTACTGCACGGCAGGCCGGCCTTGGTGGCCGCGCTGCACACCCTGCTTTTTGCCGAGTGCAGTCCCTGCTCCGGCCCGGCGAGGCGGCTCAGATGGAGCCCAGTCCTCGGTGTCCCCTTTTAGGCTCAGTCTCAGATAATCATCTCCCCTAGCCCCACTGTGGTGTCCAGCACCCTTCAACTTGTCAGCAGCAGGTGCTTCCAGACTGAAGGGAGAGCAGTGTAGTCCAGGCCTCAGGCAGCACCAAGCCCTGCAAGGAGCCAGGCGTGAGGCGGTGCCCCGCCTGGTCAGAGGCACCCCTGCCCAGGTTCAGCACCGGAGGGCTCCGTCCCCCCTCCCAGCCTTCCACCTGCTGGGCCCAGGGCCACTCTCTCCAGGGAAGGGCCCTCCTCCCACCCCTGCAAGAATCGAAGAAAAAGTGTGAAGGGGGCCCTCTCTCCACTTTGCCACAGTTGTCTGAGGAGCCAGGAAAAGTTCCAGAACTGCCACCTCTTACTCTGAATTTCGCTTCCTTAAAAAAATAAAAAGAAACAAGAGCAAGCAACGCGCTGTCAGCAGACCAGGATCCGCGTGGGCCTGGAGCTATTTGTATCCCCGGCTGCGGGGGCCTGGGGATGCTGGTGACAGGCCGGTTCCTGGCAGCTCGCCCCCTCCCGTGGGCATGGGGATGGTCCCTTCCGTCTCAGCAATGCAGACTGCCCAGGGTCCTGGCAGAAGCCACACTGCCCTGGGGTCACCGTGGCTGGGACAGCCCTCACCCTACTGCAAGGGGCCGGAAGGTGCTGGCCTCTGCCACCACGCTTGGTGCCCTCTTGGAGGGAGCCGGCGACTCGCCTCGAAGGAATATCTGTGCAGCGAGAAGCGTAGCTCTGTGAGGCGTCCTGGGCTAGTGTGCCACCCAGGAGTGACACCCGTGCTGTGAACCAGCGAAAGTGAGCAGTGTGAGCGCTCGTGTAAGGGACGTTTGGCTGTCAGGTGCCAGCAGGGGCCACCGAACACTAGTGCTCATGAAAGATGTTGGCTGGTTTTCTAAATAAAGCCAGACCACCCTGCACGCAGGGCTTGGATTCAGACAGAACGCTTCTGCGGCGGGTTTGCTTCCGTGGGTGCTCAAAGCCCTACCTGCCCGAAGCCACCTTTCTCCACCCAGAATGGCAGGTTCCACTCAGAGTCCTGTTCTCGAGCTTGTAGCCCTCACTCTCCAGTCTGGATGGTTCTCTGGCTCCCACAGCCTCAGCCATCCCAGGCACATCCCAGCCGTCTCCACCCCCTAGTCTCTTGGGTGTCTACTCCGCTGGGAGCCAGCTGCAGTTGAGGATGCAGACTTCCCCACTGCCCCTGCCCTGTCTCCAACATAAGCTGCCCACACTTTTTCTTTGGAAAGCTCACTGTGGGGAGGCGGTGGGGAGCAGATCTGCAGGCCTCACAGTGGGCCCTCCCGGGTCTGCATGGCAGTGCAGCGGGCCTGCTCTCCCTCAGGTGGGGAGGCTCTCTGTGCTCCCTTTCCCATGGCCCTTGCCTTTCCCTGGGACCCTGGGTCTCACAGGGCTGGGTCTTGCATGCCACTTCACATAGGCCAAGTCCCACACGGTCAGCCCAATCATGAAGCGAGGCAAGCCCATGGGGACCTTGTCTCTGTGTCCCCTGGATCAGTTTCAACTCTGTTGCTGCCATGTCTCTCTTTGGAGCCTTTGGACGAGGAAAGAAAACCTTTGGGAGCCCCAGTTCCTCATCTGAAAATAAGCAGAATGAGACCCGTCTGGTGAGATTGGTGTGGCCACCTGGTGCGCCTAGGGGCTGGTTCAAACTGCTTTGAAGATGGGACTATGTGCAAAACCCTAGCTACCTGCATGGCACTCCACAGGCTCAGGAAAGATGCTCTTACTCGTGCCATTGCTCTGGAGTCTGTTTGGGGGGCTTAAGTTTCAAATCCTGAGATTATCCCATTGGCCCACTGTGGGTCAGGTGTCTGCTGCTGGACCAGTCAGCTCAGGCCAGAAGCAAAGTGTGCAGCGGAACTCTGCAGCCGAGGCCCCGAAGGAGAGGCGATGAGGTCATCGTGAGTCAGGCGCCCTCCGCGGTGCTCCCGGCCCTGAGTCAAGTACACACACACACACACCCCCCCCCCCCGTACTTGCCGTTAGCTGAGCAAATATTTATGGAAACCTAAATGTTACTACTATGTTACTACTAGTAACACCCCTAGACCTGGGCAAGAGGGACCCTGGTCCTGTTTTGTGCCCTAAAGCAGTCTGTTTCCGACCTTGACTTGCTCACAAATCGCCTGAGACCTTGTGAAAATGTAAATGCTGATTCCTTGGACCTGGGGTAAGGCCGAGAGCTACAGTTTGAACCAGTCCCCATGCTGCTGGTCCAGAGACCAACCCCCTCCAGCCCTGAGAAGCAGACCTTCAGAGGCCTCTGCTGGAGGCCCCAAAAAAAACACACCCCCTTTTTTTTTTTTTTGGGGGGGGGGCTGCCACAGGGCACATGCACTCACCAGAGAGAAAGAGAGAGAGAGAGAGAGAGACAGAAAATGAGAAATCACCCCCCAGGGGGGATGGCCACACCGCAATCCCTTCTCCTCCATTCTCCTCTCGGGACTTTGGGCATGCACGCACATGCGCCCAGCGTGAGTTTAAGTCACTGGGTCCAGGACTCAAACCGTGGTCAACTACATGGGAGTCCAGCAACAAAGCCATTCTGCCAACTGCTGGTCTCACCCATACCCACATTCTAGACCATGATCCTCAGAGCCAGCATCCTGGAGTTCCTGCCCCAGACAGCCCTCATCTAGGCTCCAAGGCCTGGCCAGGCCTCTTTTCTAGGTCCTGCAGCCAAAGGTGACCATGGGCAGCTCTTGGCAGGAGGTGTAGACGAGTTTGACAAGCAGACTACGGAGTCCACCCACACGTGCACAAGGCCCTCAAAGTGGGGTGCAGCCTGAGTGGATAGAGAAGGGGGTGGGCTGTGTGATCTCTCTCTGTCCCTTCCATTCTAGTCTGCCAAGTCTTCATGGGGGGTTATTCCAAGTAGGGGGACAGGACACATCTTTAACAGTCTGCTAGCTTGCTTGGTACATTTGCACGGGCCCCGAGGTGGGAGGGGTCTGTCGGCGTCCTTGTCTCAGCCCTTCATAAGCAGCCTGCTGCGCTTAGGGCTCTGGAAGGGTCAAAGAAGTAAGGAGAAGGCTGGGAGCCCTGTCCTCGGTCTTGTTTGGAGAGGCCCCTGGGCTGGTGTGGAAGAACATTGCCATGTGGAGGGGACAGGGAGTGCCCTCCAATAAGGACAGGCAGGTCCTCGTGGCCATACAGCACACCTGGAAACCGGCTTTGCTTCCTCTGAGTCCATGTCTCAGATGTCACCTCATGACCTGGCCGCCCATCAGAAGAGTCTCTGCCGCAGTGCCAGGTCCTGCCCTTCCCAGGAGCAGCTGAGAGCGCCCACTGATTATCCCACGTGACTGACAAGGGGTGTGGGGCTGGGACAGGTCTGCAGAGCTACCCTGGGGCTTCTTCCAGGGACAAATGTGAACCCCAAGATTGAGATCAAGGAGAGACTTGGCCTGAACTGCTGCAGACACCCTGAATTCTGGACACTGAGAAGACACCGACCACAGATGTCACCTGCTCCCAAGGTGACTTTCTGTTCTAACCCTGAGATCCCCCCTGTCGCATCCCAGAACTGGCACCTGAATTTTCTTGAACCTGAGCCACAGAAGGGCAGGAGACTCAGAGGGCCATCTGGTTCATCCCAGTAATGAAGAAACGGGGCCTAGGGCGGGGCCATGACATTCCCTGAGTCACCAGGCCTGTGACGAAGCCAGAATGAGAACTTAGGAGCCCCACAAGGCTACTTCGTGCTCTTCCCACCGTTACCCCCAGTGTCAGTGCAAAATTGTCCAGCTGAAATGGGAGAAACCAGCCAGAATTAGCCACCAGGGAATGTGGATTCGAACATTCCGGGCCTGGGCTCCTTGGTCAAATACCTCCGTCTCTTTGTGCTTGTTGTCTCCTTTTCCAGCTGTCGCATCTGCCTTCTGGGCAGGAAGGGGGAGAAGGGCTCAGGGCAAGGGACTGTGTCGGCCCAGTTGCTCATCATAAACAGCCTCCCTGGAATCCATACCTGTACTTTCCACTTAGCTTTCTTTGGCCAGACTGGGTTGCCTGGTCACCCATAGTTGACCTTGTTTAGCAGGGCACACGGCCACCTTGAACACAGTCAGGGCATGCTACAAAGGTAGAAGCGGGTAGGAATCAGCACTTCAGTACAGACCAGGCAGGGATAACCCTGTGAAGACAGGCTCTTTTTTTTTTTTTTTCTGGCTAAAAATAACTGTTAAAGCCACAAACCACTGAGAGATTATCCAGATTTCCCATTTCATAGCTTTAGGAACTGCAATAGAGAGAAGAGAAAATAGTTGCCAAGGTGAGGAGCAAAATTAGAACTAGAATTCAAGTTTTCCAAATCCTAGGTGAGTGATCTAATTTTTTTCCAGATTGAAACATCTTCTTTAAAAATTGTAGCATTTATACCTAGTGTGTGAATCTTCTACAAGAATATGGTCCTAAAAACTAATCCCCATTGTACGTGGTAAAGAACCTCAGCAAAGAGTCTGAGGCATGCAGAGTCTGACATGCGGATTGACTCAGGCCTGGGCCATATGTTAGAACCCTGGTTCTGGGGGGCAGAGCCATCCCCTCTAGACATAGAAGGCCTGAAATTAAGGAAAGAAGGGAAAAATCAGGATACTGTCAACCAAGAATTGAAGAATGATTTGGGCAGACAGCCCAAACCAGCTGCAGCCTGGCCCTGGGACAGACTCCTCCAGGTGTATGCTGGTTCTGTGAGCCCTCTGAATGGGAGCAAGGGTGGGCCCTGGGGACCCAGGTTTCTTCAGAGACAAAGGTCTGCAATGGAAATGGGCAGCAGGTGACACTCCTTGCTGTAGGGGATTTCTTTCGGAACAGCCTGTTAGAACGTACCTAAGACTGGGGCCCACAAGTGGTGTGGTGGTTAAGGCGCTGGACTCCCACACTTAACCACAGTTCGAGTCCCAGATCTGGTGGCTTGCTTTCTCACTTTCCCTCTCTCTCTCTCTGTCTCTGTTCCTCTCTGGTAAAGTTGAAATGAATAATTTAAATAAAGTTAAATAAAATAATCTTTAATAAAATGTATCTAAGACCATACTGTATGCATGGCCAAGGTAGAGGTGGACTGATGTGTACCCTAGAGTTTTTGTAACAGCAGCGTACTGGGCACCATCTAAATGCCTACCAATATTGGGTTGGATAAATAAAAGATATCTACTGTGATTTGCAATGGGCAGTCTGGAGCCCATTAAGTGAAGGCGAGAGCTATATTTACTGATGTGGAAAGATTCCTGTGACATATTGTTGAGTAAAAAGAGCAGGTTATGAAACAGTGTATGATCCCATTATCATAAAACCTCACACACACTCGCACACACACAGAGCTGTCTGGAAATCTGTTCGCCAAACTGTTAGCAGAACTATCTGCAGTTGGTGGAACTTAAGGGTAAGTTTTACTTTCTTTA